ATCGAGTACGTATCTTTTTCCTGTGTTTGAGTTATTTACAATCTGTCGTATGAGAACCTTCAAAACTGTTTGCTCTAAGTCATCCTTTCCTTTCCTTTCCTTTCCTTTCCTTTCCGTTTTGTTTCTTACCTTTTTGCGATTCTTTTCCTTTTTCTTTTCTTTTTTTCTTTCCTTTTCTTTTCCATTCCTTTTCCAATTCCATTTTTTCTCTCGTTTTGTTCCCCTTTTCCCCATTTCGTTCCGTTTACTTTCTGTGCCATCTTTTTATTTTATTTTTTTACTTCTCTTTTATTTAATATCCTTAATTTTAATTGCGTTCATTCATTGACCAATAGGTAATCCATGTAACACCAGTAACACATATCTCGTTAAATCAACCACCCCTGTATTTCTAATCTTTTCCAGGTTTTCATATCCAGGTGACTACCTCTTGTTTTCTATCACGACAGCCTTGAGTAATGTCTTCTTAATCATTTTCATCTTATTGTATAGTAAAACCAAACGACCTTTTAACGACCTTGACGGGTAATAAGGGAGATCAAAGCTAATGACGGGCGTCTGAAGGCTCGCCTTACATTAATTTTCCATTCTTAGTACTATAGGAACAATTTAATCCGACCTCATCGTGGTTTTACTCGTTAAACTTCTCAACAGGGGCATCGATGGAAGTTAAAAGGATTAGATCTAGATACTGCTTCAAGTGCATTCGCCAAGCCATCTTAGCAAAACATGAGGTGATCCTTCCGACTACGTTCCGACTACAATGCGACTTCATTCCGATTCCAAACTCATTCCTTCGAGGGTGAAGTTTCTGATAAAAGGATTAGATCTAGATTCTGCTTCAAGTGCATTCGCGTGTATGTTAAGCCAAGCCATCTTAGCAAAACATGAGACGATCCTTCCGACTACATTCCGACGTCATTCCGATTCTCATTCCAGACGTTCGATTACCAGACTAGGTTCTTCTCCAGGTTCTCTCTTTTTCCTCCCTCGCTCTGCAAAACCAAACACGCTAAATTCCAATTCCATCTTTGAGTACGGTCTTATCATAGCCGTGACCTTATCTTTCACGTTCTATGCACATATGCTTTAGATATTACTCGTCTCGTCGATAAAAGCAAAGAAATACCAATTTATAAGGTTTCTTATCTTAATACACATTAATCTGATAATCTCAACTGTGCTTTCAACGGCTTTTATCAAGAAAGTGGCCGACAATCGGGTCTGTTTTTTAAGCCAGAAACACTACTCCGAATAACAACCCAATTCCTATATAATTCAATGTTTATTATTAGATATCGAAGACAAATCCCAACATTTTATACCTTAAAACAAAACGTGCGACTTTTTCATACCCAGAATTCCTTTATGCTTCTGAATGGCTTCCGTTTCCTAGCAACGCCCCACATGAGTGACAGGTAGTTCTATTAGTCGTTAACCATCACGAAGTAAACAAGATAAAGAGTTGGATTTCTTGACGCTCAATCGACAAAAACCGTTTCTATGGTATTTATAACATACATGTTGTAGTAGATGGTGGCGACTGAGAGTCAATAGATCCATCGCTTCAACTTTATTGCATAAGGAGACTCTACATTACTAAGTAAGTTATCCATTTGTTTAACAACTGAGGACTAAACAGGTTATATTGTTTTGAGGATTTTTGATGAGTTTACGAGTCTATCCGTCTACTTAAAGACAGTTAAATTCAAGTGTGCCACTTCAAGAAAACATCTTTATTTATAGTACGCTTCAGATAGATGGATCTTTATATTGTATGTGGACAAAACCAAGTGTGGATCCTCAAATACTTGACCTAAAAGACCAATAACCATGTTCAATCGATGGAAGAAGTTTTAGGCCATCCATTATTAAGTGGTTTCAAATTTATCGCATTCAGATTTCACTGAAAAAAAAAAATTTCGTCGCGATATAAGCGTTCGGCAAAGACAACATGTTATCTACAGGTTAGTCCATTCAAAAAGTCTAACACCATCTGTATTCTTTTTAGTCCTTTACCGCTTACGTTTTTACAGATTCCTAAAATAGAAAGTCGAAGATTTGACAAATTAGAGTTGGAAGTTCAGTTTGGTTGGAATAGCACCATAAGTCTATAGAATTTGGGCCTTGTTCGGTTTCGAAACCTGATCGCGGCTTGAGCTGATTTAATGCATCCTTGTTTGTATATGATTAGAGATTTGGACTGTAACCTTTTTGATGTTGTCATAGTAGAAGTTGTTGCTTTTGATTGTTGATAGATTCGTTAGAAGGGATGAAACAAAGGAAGAAAGAAAGGAAGAAAGAAAGAAAGAAAGAGAGAAAGAAAGAGAGAATAAACAAATGAAACTGAAAAAAATATGTAGCATATAGTTTGTGCGGAAACCATTGTTATCGAGCAAAAATCAATAAAGAATCTTTTATCAGATTTCTTAATTTATGGTAAGGAATGATATGACTTTTATATTTCCTTGCAGTAAAAGTCGTTACAAGACCCATTAAGAATATCTTTATTTCTCTCAAAAAAGACAAATGATTGGATATATGAAGGAGAATCCGGAAGGGAGAAAGCTATAAAATAGCTTAATTCATATCCAGTAGCATTTCAACCAGGATATTAGAAACGCCGATATAAAGAAAGCCTTGATTGCTTGAATATTTGCTTTAGTAATTTTATTGATTTACAGATTTCATTGAAAAGAAAAAGGAATTTCTCGTAAAATGATTGAAAGAAGTCAAGTTCAATCAATAAATCTATGCTAAGTAACTTTTGTTTTTTTTTTTTCTTTTGAGCCTGCGCTGTTTGAAGTCAGCAAAATAACTCATTCCTCCGCTGGCTTCGATAAACGCAGACTCTTAAAATCTCCTTCCTTGCTTTAATTTTAGAAAGCAAAATCAAAATAGCTTGTTTCTACTTTAGTTTTGATATTTTAGTGGTCTGTTGTCAGAAGCCTGTCAATAGTAGAAAGGTGTAAATGCTTCCGTAAAGAGAGGAAATACCTCTCGGCCATCGCTCGAAAAACGTGGATACAATTGGTTATGGTTAACGGGCTCTGACGGTCTATCTCTTTTACCGTCATTAATGGATTTCAATATCCGCCATTAACCAAAGCGTACATTAGAACGTTTTCTCAAGGTTGCGTGCGCATCTAATCTTAACGGGCCACAAAACTGAAAAACGCAAATTCAGTAAAATTGAGAAGCCAGTTTTATATTTAAAGAGGAGAATAATTGATTTTATGAATTCTTAGCGAAAAATCTCATAGAAATGTATGATAAATCTTATCAGTCATAAAGGTCCTCTTCTGGTATCGTGTCCTGTATTCTGTCCTGTTTCTTAAATTTGGATGAGCGCGCAATCTTGGGAAAAGGGTCTATTTTAAATAATACAACGATCGCAAACTTAGTCGCTTAGTAGACTCTTTTTAGGGCCGGTGCTGCCTTCCCTCTCTCCGATCCTTATTTTACTATCTTGTTTAAATAAATGTTATCATCATCACCATCATCATCATAACAATTATCATTATCATCATCATCATCACCATCTTCATCAAGACTGAAAACATTTATCTGATACTACTCATCCACTAAAAGAGAGAGAGAGAGAGGGAAAAAAACGCAGCAAATCATTGACTGAGGCAGTCATTAATTATTAGTTCCCAAGCTGGAAAAAGCTGGATTTTTATCTAAACATCTTGTCTTGTACTGATACTAATGTTGGCTTCGAAAAACCGTGATTCAAAAACACGTTGTCAAGCAGCTTATTAATTTTTGCAACAGCTTTTCAGGTGATAAGGTGGTTTGTTAAGTTGACACATGATATCAAACTCTCTTTTAAAACTGAGAAAAAGGTGAAGAAAATAATAACCCTTTTTTTAATTTAAGAATATAGGAAAGGTACGTATTTTTATTGCCGGGGGTATGGCTTGGCCTTCAGAGAGAAGAAAAAATCTAAACTTTTGTGGAAGGTCAAACCTTTTTATATTGACGAAAGCTGTTTCCTTATTGACTATTACTGGGCTAGAACCATTTAAAAAAGCTGGTTTACTGCGAATTTCCCCACCCCTACCTCCCCTTCCCCCAGAAATAAAACAACGTACCTCAATCTAATAGACTAATGTGTGAACTGAATAGCACTGAGCTTTCGGATCTTTAATCCATCCATCTTCAGGGAAAAAGGGCGTTCTAAACATTTCCCTCCGAAGATGGTTCTCCTGTGAAGTTTTTCTCCAGGGCCCAGTTACATAAATCTCTCTTAAGATAAAAAAGCTTAAAAACACTCGTAAGTATTGTATTAGTACAATGGCCCATTGTTTTGGAACGATACTTACGGAAGCTCTTATCTTAAGAGACCTTTATGCAACCGGGCCCAGGTTCTCTAGTTTTTTCCCCTCAGTAAAAATCAACTTCTAAATTCCAATTGCAATTTCAGTGGACGAATAGCTACTCCAATCACATTTTATTTTCATTTAGAAGAAACAGCAATGTTATTCAATTACGATATATAGATAAAAAGACATTTGATATTAAAATCAATATGGTTTGAAATCAACCCACTTAAACTGTCAATTCACAATATTTACAATTCGAGAAGAGTGGTTAAGGATACCTAGTAGAGGTAATGAGTTTTCCATGCTATTTATGCCAAAATGTGTCCATAGCAAAATTTGTACTAAACGTCAACTTCACTCCAATTTCAAAAGCTGTTAAAATTAAGCAAGATGATTCGTCTGATTGTATGAGGTATTGCTTTGTTTTTCCAGGGAAATTTATGACAAAGTGCTTTTTATCTGAGTGTATCTAATTCTTGTGAGTTCAGCTTGTAACTCCCAACAACGACTCTAAAATCACTAGAAAAGTGTGTTTATTTTTGTAAAATTCAGTTTATTCCTGTGAATTAGTCGAATAGTGAATATCACTTCTATCATTTCTTCAGACCTTGAAACGAAAAAAATATTAATTGTAAAATGCAAATAGGTAATGTTGTTGTTATCATTTGCCAGGAAGTCTTCGAATGAATGTTAGAATCAAGGACATCAAGGATTGAGTAAAAGACCTTATGAGATTCAAGTTCAAATAGCATGTAAGTACTATTTTTCCTTATTATGTATGATTACATTTCGGCCTTCTTTTTTTCTTTTTTTTTTTTTTTTTTTTNTTTTTTTTTTTTTTTTTTTTTTTTTTTTTTTCTTTTTCTTTTTCTTTTACTTTTTAATGTTTTTAAACAAATTATTATTATTAACAGTGCAGTATTGATTGATGTTTCCATTTTTGTGGCTGAATTAATTCGTAAATTTAAACTTATTGACATGGAAGCTAAAACGAAACGGTAGCTATTCTTATGCATCTCTTTATTTCAAAATCATCCCTTGTTTTCGCTTGCGTGTTCATCTTATTGTTTCCCTATCGTTACTCATCTCAAAAAAGAAAACTCAAGAAAGAAAGAAAGAATACGGAAACTTTAGAGATCAATCAATAATGAAAACTTGTGATCTGTCTACGCGAGCTAGGAAACTTCTCAGAGATACTTAATAGAGTCTTGAAACCTTATTTGCTTGGATCCGAGTTTTATCTATAAAAAAAAACCCCCAAAACTAAATAATCAGTGTGTTATCTAATAAGTTTTGCTATCGGCAGTGCCGTTTATCAGATGTAGCTGCTCTTTCCCAGGAAAAAACCTGCGCGTACCTTGCTCCCTGGTAGTGCAGTTTTCTAATGACTGTGAAAAGCTCAKTGCCGTAAGCGTGACGTGCCGTGACCGTGATGTTTTCTAGAATTTTAATTGGCTGATTTTTTTCTCGCGCAATATGATTGGTCTAAAAGTGCCGTGACTTTGGCGTGACCGTGTCCGCGCCGTGTTGATGCCGTGTTCCGGGTATTTGATTGGATGGAGAGTGAATTCTCGTGCAATGTGATTTGTCTGGCGTATCCCTTGCTGTGTCAAGAACGTGTTCGTTAGTTCGTGCCGTGAGCTTTTCACAGTCATGCGAAAACTGCTCTATAAGCTTAATCAAGAGATAATGAGATAGTTCATTTCCTCGTGCAAGTCGATCGGAGACACAGAGTCCGCATGTTTATCAATATTGCAGTAATGGTATTACAGTATCTAAAACTGCACGGATTGGAATAAGCTTGTACGAGTGTATGTGAGACCGTTAAGTAGACAACGCTCTTGCTAAATTAGATGCTCTTGTTTTAAAACCTTAAGAACTGACTAATGCCGAAAGAAAAACACTTTCATGTACGTAGTGAAGATAATCAGTAGGTCATCAATGGTCATAAACAAACCTCTTGAAACCAAAATGCTATTATCCCAAAGAACAAAACTACTCTAAAACTAAAGACTGACCTATATTGAACTCCTAAACCAATATGATCTGTCAGTAACCCCATCTTTTAAGGCCGGTTTAGACGGTACGATTTTCGCCTACAACTATCGTATACAACACGATCGCGTCTGTCGTAGGCGAGTTGAAGGCTTGATTTACACGCTACGACTCGGGTTGTAGGATGGCGCGAGCGCGTTGTATTCGATAGTTGTAGGCGAAAATCGTACCGTCTAAACCGGCCTTAAGATATCCTTTTTGTATGCTCTTACTACGTGCACTCAATAGACGACTTGAACGAACAGGTCACGTGACTCTATTTCCCTTAAAACGAGCAGCCGTGTTAAAGTGAGCATCAAGAACGAAAAGAGTAATAAGAAAGAAAATTCGCGAAGCATCTTGGTAGTGGTAGTGAATTGACGCCATCATGCAAACATCCTATTGCTAGGTTTCAATCAGCTGATAAAAGACTTTGAATCTCATTATCTGCTCCAAATGGTGGTCAAACACTGAACACCATGTACTTTAAACCAGAAAAAGATTCTATTGAAAACTTGTGTTTCAGCTGATGAAATTTGGCACGAGGCAGTAAATGACGACAAGTAAGAAAACAACAATTGAGTGTATACTATATTAGATGCTTAGTGGACGGGTAAATGGACTTCTGTGTACCTGTTTGTAAATCCCTTCAAGGAACGCCTGGGGCATCAAAAAGGAAGTTAAATTAACCCTTTTGAAAACATCTTACATTAGGGCTACTTTCTCTCCTCCTACCATCCGTTTATTACTCGTTACTACGTGCCAATTAAGGAGTTGATTTCAAAGTTATGATCTATCCATCGTAATGGACTAATAGTAATAATATTTATTTACTTAATATTGCGCAGTCTAACATGCCAATATATGATCGCGTGCACATTACAAAATACAATATCAATATTAATTTACATTATAATAAAATTTCCTAGCTATTAAAATAGAAATTAGAAAAATATATCATTAAGTGAAAAAAAATAAAAGTAATTAAATACGTCGGTATAGAATTTAAAAAAATATAAACGATGCTAAGTTCTAATCATAAAGCGCTAGTTCAAAAAAAAAAATTACTGTAAGATTTAGTTAGCCTTATTTCGAGAGGCAGTCTATTCCATACCCTTGGGGCTACAAAGTCTTCTTTGCTTTTCGCTTGCTGCGGCCATCTTGAATCGCAAGGCATTTTAGGTCGCCATGGAAGCAAAACAAAACAAAGATGATGAAATGACGACCCCACGATATTTGAGAAAGTTCCTCAGTTGTGGAACTCTTAGATTATTTGTATAGGTAATAGAACTACATGCTGTCCAATTTGAAAATAATTGGATGAAAAAAATTCCGAGGACTGACAAAATTGAAGAGGCCGATAGGCCGAGTCCAATTTGGCAGTCAGGAATTTTTTTACTTCAATTATTTTCAAATTGGACAGACATGTATTTCTATTGCAGATTAATTATATCAAAGTTCCATGTCTACCATATTATCGTTTTTTTACGCTGTAAAGGTCTTCGAACTTCCTCCGCCATTTTGAAAAAAATTACAAGGCGAAAAAAAGTAAACGAGGGCGGCCGGCAAGCGAAAGTCGCGCGCTGATTGGTTCGAAGTCAATTTCTATTTTTTCTCCTAAGTTTTGATTGGCTGATAAAAACTATCCAAATACTGAGTAATTGGATAGTTTTAGCTCTTCCAAGAAAAATGCGAATGGAAACAATCCAAATTAATCTTTAATTTGGACAGGAAAGAGAATTTGAAAATAATACAACAGTTGCTTATATGGGATTATAGAGTGATAATATAATTATAATTATAATTCATCTCTTGTCTAATTGTCTTGTTTTGAACAGTGAATGTCAATCGACTCCATTATTGTAACACAGCTTTGTCTCATTGCCCCCTTGACGACCCACAATGCCTTGTGATTCAAGATGGCCGCCTCATCGTCAAAGTAGTCCATTTTATAAAAACTAAATGCTCGAGCTAGTATTGTTTTCACATAACTTTAGAACGCCATTCATAAGCTAGTTTATAAATAGACGTATTTTTTATGTCTATTTTAGTGTGGTCGTTACTTGATATGATAATGCCATGTTTTATAATTACTTTTCAAGAGTGGCTTAGTCTTTTGTCATTTTGGCCACTTCCATATGGTAAACCATTTGTAAACCTGAATTCAAGTACCTGCTATTCAGGGCCATATGTCATTAATTCATAGCTGCTAGAGACCAGCTGTCGTAGTTGTTTGTTTGTTCAAAGTGAGTAGGGTATAGTACTGATGTTTTGATATTTTACACTAAAAACGAGCGATGTATAAAACGGATAGGTGGCTTGTGTTTGCATTTTTTATCTTTCTTTCTTTCTTTCTTTCTTTCTTTCTTTCTCTCTTTCTTTCTTTCTTTCTTTCTTAAATTGGCTTCTTGAAACATAGCGAAAACATACTTATAAGATCTATTTTCCTTAAATAGTATATGTGACTAGTATTATTTTAAACTTGAATTTAGAGCTTCGCGCACTGTGATTGGTCGAGCGACTAATTGTAAAATGTATAAAAATATATAAGGTCACGATTTATCTCATGAGTTTTAGTAAGCTGTTAAAAATATTGGTGATATTAGGTAATCTAGCCTAGTGGAGCCAAATCGTTTGAGTAATCTGTTATTCAGGACCATTAAAGCTCAGGTTTCGCCCTTTAATTATCCTTATCTTTTGATAAATGAGACAAATTGATGCACACAGCTTTTCTGCTTCAATATCTGAGGAGTGTCGAACTGAAGGATAAGGGGAATTGCTGGATCTTGATTGAACCATTGAGGGGATGGGTTAGTTTTGAAAGAATCAACAATGGAGTAGCAATAGCTTCGTTTGCAAATTGCCCATTTCGGTCCACATGACATTCCCTTGAGAATTATTCTGTTATGACGAACATGTTAAAATATTTACATATGAAAGAATCAACTCCCAAGATTGGCATCACGTGGTCTGAAATTTGTACAACAAACAACGAAGATGAATAGGTCTATTGGCCATTCTAAGGTTGAGGGGTAAACTGGGTCGAGTGCATTTTATGGGTGTTTTAGGGGACGGAATAGACGCCATATCTGAAATATGTCCTCTAAAACTCCACCACTGATTCCCCAAGAATGACATAGAACACGCCAAATATCGATTCAAATGCTAACACTTCCTGTAAACGGTCTAACGAGACGATTTCTTTTCCGCTTACGGTCAACCATCGTATGCTACGATCTTTGCTTTTTCGATTACTCGTGATGCATGATTTCGTTATCTCGTACGATCTTAATCCATTTCAGTTGTGGTAATAATCATTCTTGCGAGGTTTATCAGAAATGATCATCGCGTGCTTAAAAAAATGACTGATTGCTTTCTAGAAAATGACCCCTGATGACGATCAAAACGTCGCTCAAAATAGCTAGCTCTCTTATTCTGGTCTGCGAAGTTTTTTGTGTGACAAACCAACGAATATTATTTTTATTAGAGACGAGATTTCAACCTTTGACAGGCTGAGCAAATCTCTCTGCTGTAGGACGAAAATTGCTTCATCAGCCCTGCGTTATTCGACCAATAGGTTATAGGAAGCCAGACAAGTACCCTTAATTAAGCGGACAGGCCCTGCATAATGCGACCAGCAGGTTTTAGGAAGCCAGACAAGTACCCTACATTAAGCGGACATGCCTTGTATAATGCGACCAGCAGGTTTCTGGAACTC